GTGAGAAAATTTTGAAGGTTCTTATATCAGAGCTAATATCATCATTATGGTTCCACCCTCAGAATATTTCCCAAAGGCTCTCAGGTAATGAAACTACATTAAGAATTAGGATTTCAGTAGAGTGGGGGTGTCATACGAACATCCAATCAATCGCAAATAAAAATCTGATTGGAGCAATGGACTATGTATTTTAGAGATGATAAAAATCAAACACAAATAACCAAGAATCAGGATCTGAAAACTTTAGGACAACTGATCTTCCTTAGTAATTTCTATGCCTACTATGGTTTTGACTGTATCTTCAAATTTGATTTTTAAATATACACATCAGCAAATAGAAATGCCTGAAATGATATACTATGCCAGTCCGTGGCTACTATAACAAATTACCAAAAAACTTTGGGACTTAAAACATGCAAATTTACGAACTGGGTGTGATTTACAAATCCCTATATTTGTAACACTTAAGAGAAGTTTGAGGGCATCCTCAGCTACCTAGCATATTTGAGGGCAGCCTGACTAACATGAAACCTTGATTTAACACAAAACAAATCAAAACAAAACAACAAACAGAAATGTCTTCTTTTACCTTGGAGGCCAGAAGTCTGAAATCAGAGTGTGAATAGAGCCATGCCTCTCTGGTGGCCTTAGGGAAGAATCCTTTGCCTCTTCCTAGTCTTTGGCAGTTACGGAAAATCCTTGCTGTTGGTGGGCTTGCCATGTGCCATTCCAGTCTCCGCCATCAGCCTCAGCCTCAGCCTCATTGTGCTTTCCTGTGTATCCATTTGTTTTGTATCTTCCAAAGTTGTTCTTTCTGTATGTGTCTGTGTTCCAATCTCTCCCTTTTTATAAGAATACCATCAAGGCACCAGCAAGACTCCTTGTATATTCTTTTCTGTACTCCCTGTATGTTCCCTTTGGGGGCAGTATTTCTCCTCTACCTGTGGACATGTAACACCTCAAAAACAATGTATCTGCTTCTAAAATCCCATAGTGGAAGCAGTGTGGGATAGAAATTCCCATTCTGAAAGGGAGACAAATGGAAGAACTAAAATGGCTGCTGGTCTAAAGAAAACTGGCAATCCAGAAAGGCAAGTCTCATTAGGTTTGTAAGCCTGCAGCTAATTATCTGTGGCTCAGTGTAGTCTCCTGGCTTCACTCAGCCTACCTGAGTGGCATCTTCTCTGTGCAGCTAAAAATTTGGCCTCACCTTCTGGAATAAAAGAAGCAACGACTTCCTCCAATAGGCCCATACTCCCATATTGGCAAGAACAACAAATTTGAGCCTCTCAACATCATTTCTGGCCTCCAAGTCTTCATTGGAACCCATTATTCTATTTTCCAAAAGGAATAATGCAGCTCACAGCTGAATAGCTTTTTTCATCATTTTGATGCTGCAGACTCTCAGAAGTTGAAGCTTAAACCTAAATGTGACTATGCTTAGATATAATACTTGAAGGAGGTGATTAAGGTAAAATGGAACCGTTAGGTCAGGGACTAAATCCAGTAGGGTTGATGGCCTCATGAGAAGAAAACCAAAGATCTCTTTCTTTTTTTGATAAGCCTATATTAAGTAGAACCCATGTGAGCTGATAGTGAGAATGTGATCATATCCAAGCTATGAAGGAGGCCCTTGGGAACTACGTTGGTTGACTGTTTGCTTTTGAACTTTCCCATCTCTAAACAGTGAGAAGATAGCTTTCTGTTGTTTAAAGTACCTGGTCTGTGTATGGAGAGCTGTGTAGACTAAAAACGGTCCCCACAGCAGTATCTCTCTTCCCTGTTGCATTTTCTTTAAGCAGCAGAAAGAAACCAGACTGTATCTTCATACTTTGTTGGGAAGTTTTTGTCAGCTAAAGGTTCAATTTCATCATTTAAACACTCTGCTTTTCAGTTAACATTACAATGAAATGGTTCTCTTCTGCTCCAAAAGAGTATCACCTTTCTGCCACTCTCCCATAATGCTTCTTGTTTTCATCAGGGACTGTACCAGAGGCAGTTCATATTTATAACAACATTCTTAAGGCTGTATAGTCTTAACAGTATCATCTGTCTCAAAAAACAGTATTTATATACTAGACTACTGTAAAACCAGTTCTAGTAGTATATGGTACAGAAACATCTCCATGTCAGTTCAAAAGTCTGCATTCATTTTCCAGGATTGCTGTAACAAGCAAAAACTGAGTGTGCTGAAACAGCAGTGACTTATTCTGTCCTATTTCTAGCAGGTAGAGATCTGGGTTTGAGTTCATGAAAGGGTCAGAGTCCCTTTGAAGGTTCTGGAAAGAGGATATATTTTTTTTGCCTCTTCCTACAGTCTGGTAATTACAGACAAACCTTACTATTTCTTGGCTTGCAAGTACATTATTGAATTGCTGCCCCCACCATCACATAACGTTCTTCTGTGTGTCTGTGTCTATATTGTCACAAGGTGTTCTCCTCTCTAATTGCTTCTCTTTCCACATTTTCTTATTCTTATAAAGGCACCAGTCCTTGAGTTAAGTCCTACTTGGTTATATCTGTTAAGATAGTGTTTCCAATAAAATCACATTCACAGGTACCAAAGGTTATGACTTAAACTTGCGAGGACATACTGTAGGATGTTTGTCTCCTACCCACCAGTTCCCAAAAAGCTACTCAGAGGCTTATATTGACTGCAAATACTCAGCCGATAGATCAAGCTTACTACTAACTAGCTTATATTTTAAGATAACCCATATTCCTTATTTATGCTCTGCCACATGGCAGTACCTTTATTAACATAGCACATTCATCTCCTGCTCTCTATGCATCTCTGTTGGTGACTCCTCTGACTCTGCCCTTCCTCATCCCATCCTTCTCAGTTTGGCTTTCCTGCCTAACTTTATCCTGTTCAGCCATTTGCCAGTCACAGACACACATATTCACACAATGTAAAGTAATATTCCATAGCAACGTGTAAGTCAAACTACCACATGTACTCACCCAGGACTGGGTGCGTCAAACTTTCCTCACAAAATAAGATGAACATGAGGGATATAAATTCCATTTCCTTAACAACTGAACCCAAGAAATGTCCATTAAATATGTAAAGATAGTTAATAAATAATCAAGATACCCAGAGTTCTTCATTTCTACTTGTTTCTATAGAGCCTTGTATAGTCATTAGAAATTTATTTTCACAACTCCATGACTGTTCGTTTGAGAATTTGTTTCCTCCAGTAGACCAAGTTCCTTGATATATGTGACTTGTTTATCTCCATAGTGCCAGTGCTTATTATGTTAAACAACATCTAGTCAGAGGTTCCTAGTAATTTGGAGGGAAGGGAAGGAAAATGGAAGGAAGAAAGATGTTTGTTTGGTTATAGCCTTGGAAATAGTAAGGAATTAGGAACTCAGAGTGCTGATGTCAAGACTTGCTGCCTTCTATTCTGCTGTTCCTAGGCCTATAGTATTTTAGGTGTCAGTATACAATAAAATATGAAACAAAATTCACAAAGCAATTCCAAATTATTAGCTCATCAGAGTAGTTTTTCTACCAAAAATCGTCTGCTTCAGTTCATCAATAATTCAACACATAACCAGCATGCCCATGGGGAATAGAGATCAGAGAGCACTATGTGCAGGCTATGTTTTGGATGGGTAATTCTAATACATGAACTAAATCTGAATTTAAGTTTGAGCCCTCAACAGCAACCCCTTTAATGAACTATTGTCAACTTATATCTGAGAGAATGTATCATTCTTTCAAAATCTTAACATGCCTTTATATGTACAATCCATTATAATAGCAAGAATTAAAAAAAAAAACTCTGTGAGTCCATGTCTAAACTTTTTTATAAAAAAATGCAGAGAAGAAGGTGAGACATTCATGGAAACTAGAGAAAAGACGAGGGAAATCCTATGAGAATATATACAGAGCAAAGTCAGGGGGATTCAGTGCCTTTATATCCATATAACTCAAACAATTGATAATACATAACTATGTCTTCCCTATAGAGTGAAAGTCAGGCTATGTTATGCAAACGCTGTGTTCATAGGCATGCTAATAAAGCACGTCAAACAGATTAGTATGAAAGAAGACACTAAACAGAATGCCGTTGTAAGGGCAAGGGCTGTGTCTTCATTTTTTTCCCCAAAAATAAAGCTATAATTAATAAAATTATCCTATATTCAAACTAAAACAATTGTAATAAAATTTTCCTTTCCAAAACAATAGTAAAGGAAAGAAGGTATTTTGTAAAATGTGGTCCTGCACAAGTCACAGTAAAAATAAATGTATACATAACTCCCACCTTCTCAAAGCAGAGGCTGCTTTCTCCTTCAGGACGAGAGCAGAGAATAAGGGGCTGTGTCTTCTTAATGATTATATCTCAAATGCCTTGGAAAGTTACAAGCATATAGTAGCAATTCAGTAAATATGTGTTTAATAACTTATTGGATGAATTAAAATGATTAACCAAGAAACTACTGTAGGTTGTCAAAGCGTGGTTTTCAAAACAAGAAAAAGCACACGAGAAACGGATTTAAAGGTCGTTCAAGAGTTGTTCAAGTAAAGCAATGTTCTGCTCACTTGGCGGCTGTATTATGAAAAAAGAGCTGACACCTAGTTCTGTGTGTGAGCCCTGCCACTTGCCTTTGTTTGTCAGAGCATTTGGATATCCCACAACTTCCAACTCACTCCTTTCTTTTGTTTTCTATTTAACGAGAACTAAGACCAATCAGAACAAAGCTTGCTTGAACTAAACTAATATAGTGGTTGAGCAAGGAATAGACAGATCCTCACTTCTGTCTTCAGTTCCTATTTGCCATTAATCCCATCTATTTCTTTTTCCCTTCTGAGGCCAGTAACAAAACGAAATAAAAACAAAAAGAGGGAACTGTACCTACCAGCTCTCTCCTTCACACGCTTTGACACCTACACTGTGGGCTATTTTAGCCCTAGCAGCAGATTTTCTGGTCTTCCCGAATCCATCTCCGTGATTAACCCTCCATTCTTTCTTCTCTTTGATTTGCTTCAGATACCTGCAGCTGAAAACAACCCTTTCCTTATCGGAATGCACTATTGGTATTCCAGCCCTAGTCCTCGGACTCAGTTCTGCAATGTTTGTCGCGAGAACATTCCTGCCTTATCTCGAGATGCCATCATCTGTGAAGGTACCTTTCTGACTCCTTTAGAAAGCAGAGCTCACTGGATAGAGCTAGGCAAGCAGGGTCTCCTATGGCTTTAGTGTTACTGATTCAGTTGAAATTGTTTGTTCCTATGTGAAGGTAATTCCAAGGGAGGGAAAGAGAAACTAGCATGAAGGGGTGTTCTCATGAAATAAAAATAGAGGGTTGCATATAGGAAGATGGACTATATGGTCAGAAGGATTGAAAAGTTAGTAATTATTTCTTTCTTACTATTAATTGTAATGTAAAATGGATACTAGGAAGCTTAGCTAGCAAAGAATTGAAAGGAACTTTGGAAGTGGGTCAGAACTATTTAGAAAGCATTTGAATTCTAACCTCTAGAGAAGCTTAGGCAAGGGAATTAGAATTTTCATTGTCACTAGACTTACACCTATTTTTTTCTTCCTCCTTTCACAGTCTGTAAGGTGAAATCACACAAATTATGTGCTTTGAGAGCAAGCAAAGACTGCAAGTGGAATACTTTGTCAGTAACTGATGACCTCCTTCTACCCGCTGACGAAATAGTAAGTACCAGCCATATCCTCCCACAGATGCCTTCCCCAACTCTTTTCAAGTCCTGACACACAGGGAAAGGAAGAAGTCTTCCTGACACTAGACAGGCAAAGTAGTTTCTTCCTCAGAATCCAATGACCCAATGAATATCAATAAATTAAACCCCAAATCCCACCTTCCATTAGTCAGAAGCATCGAGGGCAGGCCCATGAGATTTTTTATCTAATGTTCCCCATAAGTAGTGTAATTATCCCAGCTGTTCCTTCTCTTATCACTAATTTCTAACTTTTGCCTTTTTCCATTTCAGCAAACCATGCCTCATCAATGGGTAGAAGGAAATATACCTGCCAGCTCTCATTGTGCAGTATGTCATAGGAGCTGCGGTAGTCATCACAGACTTCAAGATTTCCGGTGCCTCTGGTGTGAGTCTACGGTGAGTCTCTTTTCATATCTTTGTTACTTAAAGAAGTTTATTGCTAGAGAAGAGGTAGATTGGGGATTATCTGTAATTATGCAGGGGCAAATAGGTAGCTAGATATATATCTTAGAGATCCTTACACCAAAATGCACTATATGATTCCATAGTACAAAGACCAGGAACTTGCCTTTCCTATATGGCTATGGAATCCTTGGGAGAAAGATTTAAATTGTTTGTGATCTGATGCCTTTTTAATTGATGAAGCCCATCTTGGCAATGAGAAAAGCTGAATTCTCAAATGACAATATGAACAATTAAATAAATTCTGGAGTCTATCATTAAGAAAGGATTCCTCCCTCATCCATTACTACCTACAAACTTACAATCTTTATTAATGGGTAGTAATAACGATAACAAATTATCATTGCCATGATGTATTTAATATCTTTTATTCATGATCTCAATCTTTAGAACAACATTGAACTAAGCCTCAGTCCCCATTTTACTCATAAGTAATGTAGGGCTCAGAAAGTGAACCCAAGGTCATATAGCCAGCAAAAAAATGAAGTCTTGATCAATATACGGTTCTGATAAGACCATGTCCCTAACTACAACACTACCATATCTTTGAAAACACTGGCCCTCAACTGGAGGATAATTTTGGCTCTTGGAAACATTTTGCAATATCCGGAGTAATTTTTGATGGTCCAAACTGGACTGGACAGGAGGGATGCAACTGGCATCTAGTAGATTCTTTAAAACTTATAATGCATAGGATAGTATCCTGTAACAAGGGACTGTCTGAGCCAAAAACAAAAACAACAAAAATGAGGATCACAAAGATTGAGAGACTGATCTTAACTTTCTAAACTTAGACCCTTCTCTCAAACTGAGTTTTCTAAGACAAGAAGAAACTGAAGTGAGCTTCTTCACTAAGAAGTCTGTTCACTGGCCTCCTGTTAATTGCCTTGGAATAGCCATGCCAGGCTCATGTAATTAGAAAGTGTGGTTGTTTAGGATGTGGAATGTGAAGAGGTCTGAAATCTAGGAAGAATGGCAACTTGTGGGGAATTCTGCTTTGGCACTTCCCAGCTATTTGACCTTAGGTTAACTCTGTGGGCTTTCACATATGCTCATTTCTAAAATGAGCTCAGTGATGCTTTTCCCGCCACATACTGTTGTTCTAAAGATTGAAGGATAGGCATCAGGATTAGGACTTTGGAAATGCAACTAAAATTCCCATTCTGTAGGCTACTCAGATTGTGTCCTAAAGCTGATGACATCTTAGAAACTGTAGTTGGGAATCTTCAGAAAGATACCTGTAAAAGAGCCAGAGTTCTGCCTACTCAGGGATATTGCAGTTTAACAGTAGAATGGGGGTGGAGCAGTATCAAGTGAGTTAAGGTTATGTAGATAGTACCAAATTTCAGAATGGGAGACTTAAAATGTAGGAGGTCTAATTCTTGGCATGGAACCAAAGACTAAACATTGTTTTTTCTTTTCTCTCCCCCTCCTTTTTTCTCTTGTGCTCTTATCGTTTCAGGTGCACGGGGCCTGCCAGAGGCGTTTTTCCAAGGAATGTTCCTTTGGAAGTCGTCGCTCATCCATCGTGCCGCCAACTGCACTGAGCGACCCCAGAGGCGATGGTGAGTAGATTGACCTTTGCTTCAGAAACACACTGGGGAGGGAGGGAAGGTATAAAGGCTGGGAAGAAGGGCATGAATTATACTTCACAGTAATAAAGAATTTGGGGGAAATGTGAATATATATGTTTGCATCAAAAACTAACAGTTATTCCTTCAACCTTTTTAATGGCAAATGTTGTGTTTTGGTGTATGGGTGCTGTGTATGGGCATGTTCTCTGTATGTAGACTGTCAAAATTCTTTCTGACTGTTCAAAATTAATTTCAGCTTTCTTAACTGTTGTTTTAGATTTTCAAATATCACCTTATTTAGGAAATGAATTTTATACATCTTTGAACCAATGTTTCAAAACCTATTGAAAGCCAAGGTTATATTATTAAAATGGAAACTAACACACAAATTGTTACCAAATATGAAACCAGCATGGTTATTGCCCTAACACTCCTCACTGATATTTTGTCACTTCCTGGGAAATTGTGATTTATTGAAAGTCCTTTTTCACAAAGTTCTTCAATACTACAAAGAGAGATCTAAAATAGACATTGTATAGCACCTAATCATGATTAAATCAGCAAGGTCTTGTTATAACACCACAATTAACAATTGAATGGAGCATATGTTAAGTATCAAAGAAATAATAGAGACACTTAGGTAGCGAATAAGTGTTAGAAATATTGACAAAAAATATGGGTGCAGACAAACCTCAAGCTACTGAGTGAGTCATTTTGAGAAGTTTCTGAAGGCAAGTGTAAGCATGTGGTTCATAGTACCATATGAAGACACAAAGGTAAAGTCACTCAGACATGCATGAATATATTATTCTCAGATCTATCCAAATATTTGTCTTCGTAACATCACCCAATAGACAACTGACTAAAGAGAAGAAGTTGATAAACTTTGATCAATGAGAGATGGTTGACTGGTTAGAAGAATGGAGAGGCCTAGGAAAGGTGGAATTGACATATGGGAAAAAGTAACAAGCTAATTACCTGAGCAAATTCAGGCTGCTCATGAAATCAACCTATTTTTTTCTTGCATCATAACCATGCATTCATCCTCTCCTTTTACTGAAAATAGATTCTTTCTTCATGCAATATATCCTGATTACAGTTTCCCCTTCCTCCACCCCCCCCCAGTTTCTCCTCACCTGCCCTACTATCTGGAACCACTCCCTTTCTGTCTCTCATTAGAAAAGAGCAGTCTCCTAAGACAACAATAAAACATAACAAGCTGAAATATAATAAGATAAAATAAAAAAAATCATATTGAATTTGAACAAGACAAACCAACTGATGAAAAAGATCCCCAAAAGAAAGCACATGAAACCGAGACCCACTGGCTCACTCACTTAGGAGTCCCATAAGAATATAAACTAAACACCATAATATATATACAAAGGACCTGGTACCGACCCATGTTGGCCCTTTGCTGGTTCAGTCTCTGTGAGTCCTTATGAACTTTGCTCCATTGATTTAGAGGGCCTTGTTCTCCTGGTGTCCTCCATCCCCTCTGGCTCTTACACTCTTTCTGCCTCCTCTTCTCTGTGGTTCCCTGAGCTCTGAAGGGAGGGATTTAATGGGAACATCCCATTTACAACTGTGTGTTCCAAGATAGCTTTCTCTCTCTGCATAATATCTGGCTGTGGCTCTCTGTACTTGTTACCATCTGCTGTAAGAGGAAGATTTTCTGATGAAATAGTCAACCTATAACCTTAGGTTTTGTGCTACTGTTTCCTTCACTATTACTGGAGATAGTTAGCGTCCCACAAAATCATCCTAACTGTGTATTATTGGGGATAGTAATTATTATTTATGTCCAAGTCAAACATGTTCTGTGGTTTCTGTCATTGTAGAAGTTGTTTATATCCAATGTGAGGCTGTTATTTTCCTATACCACTTCTGAATCTTATTATGGATCATCAACTACTGGTACTGCTTTCTTTTACATAGAAGTGCCTGAACTGGCCTGTTATTTTGTGTCATCTAGTATGCTACGAAGCATCTTTAATTTTGGCTTCTATGTAGCAGCAGTCTTGGTCCACTTGAATATCATGCTGACAACACTTCCCCCACCACCCTCCATGTATTACTTATCCTGGAATTCCTCAGAAAAGGCTTTAAAGAACTTTCTTTCTTCTTGACTTTTCCTGGGCTTCTTAGCCTCAACAAATAAGCCCTTCAAGATTAGGATTCGTTCTGAGTCTGTTCTATTCTAGGGGAATTTTCTTCTGCATTTCTCAGTCATGGAATCTTAATGATGGTATTAAGGTTCATCTGTTCCAACCTTTCAGCCAAGCTAGAAATCCTTTCTCCAGCACCCAAGTGATAACCTTCTGAGGCAGCCTTTGACAGTGCTGTTGTGCATCCATTCCTGCATTCACTGATTCAGTCAAGAGGCTCCAATTGATTGACAAAGCCTCTAATTATGCACTTTTCTCTACTCAGTCTATTTAGTAAATTACTTTAGGGTCCAGCTCAAATCAAGTACTATTTTCTATTGCTTCTATGATGGCCTCTTCTCATTCCCCAAGTTAATTAGTTTCTGTGCAGTAAACTAAGAACTTACACAGTGGTTATTAAACATAATCATGCATCAAATTCATTGGGAAGGATTTATTAAAACACAGGTTTTGGGGCCCCACCATCTGGAGGTTTTGATTCAGTACACATGGGAGAGGGCCAATAATTTGCATTTCTGAAAAGTTCTCCTATGCTTTCTATGCTACTAGGCCTATGAACATGTTCCATTGTTTATTATGTGGTCTTCGATAAGTTACTTACTGTGTTTCCTCCTCATTTCTCAAATATTCCACTATTACTAAAGTGTATTTAGCAAAACATTTCATACAGATATATACATGACTCAAATTTGATGTCCTAGTAAAACAGGCCCTAACAAAGCTGCCAGGGTACTATTTCCTCATGTGACCCCCTTTCTGCACTTATTCTTCGTCCACTGCCATTTCCACACATTCAATGACATTGCAACATTCATAAAGACAATAAATCCTCACAATATTTCCTGGACTTGTCTGCTACCACTTAGTGTCAGTGTCGGTAACTCATTCTCCATAAACTCCTTCACCCTGGAAGGGTGGCCCTAGATCATGGTGTCATTTGTCATTTCTTTTCTCCAGATAAATGATAAGTATTCTGGTACATTATGAAGGTTGAATTTATTTAAACATCATTAAAGATTACTTCAGTAGTATAGGAAGGGCAGTAATAAGCAAGACGTGTGCCAATTTAGTATCTTTCTGTGGAATGAAGACAGTGAACTGGCGTGAAAGTATTGGCCCGCTGGATTAGGTGATTGTATTAGTGCTGCTGAACAAAAACATGAGCTCTTTTTAAGAGGTTCTTCAGAGTATTGATTCATCTGATAAAGCCCCTGTGCTCTTTTCACACTGGATTCTGCCAAGCTAAGTATCTATTGTTCTGTTCCAGTATTATTTATGTCCTTGAGCCTGGACATGAAGACCAAGGTGCACACTTAGCCATCTGTTTACTCTGACTCATATGACCATCGAGGTCATTTTCTGCTCTCAATTCTATCATCCAATAGCTCTTTCTCAAATTTAGGGTACTCAAACTTTATAGGCCAGCTTTCTAAGCTCTCATCTGAATTACAGAATAAAAGTGCCAAACAGTACAGGAAAGTCCCTTGCAGTTGACATCAGTCACTTAAAAAGCAACCTTGTCAGTCAGGTTGTTTACCTGACTAGGAACCTATCATTTCTACACTCCAATTTACTATGCTGATGTGTTTTATTTTCTTTGCAGCAGCACACTACTATTATATGTATGAAAAGATGAGCCCTTAGAGTACTTAAAATGTTTCCTGTAGGTTAGTGAATACACTGGGAGGGTAACATACAACTAACTGCCTCTCTTATAGAAATATACTATGAAGTATATAGTACATGCTTAAAGCTGCCAGATGAATCTGAAACAATAAATTCCACTGTACTGTCATGGTTATTTAACTTATAGATAGCATTAACATAATTTTACTTTCTTATTTCTTAATTCTTGACTGGCAAATATATTCACATAGGCTAATAGTTTTCCTTTAAAAAATAATACAAAATACAAGGAAATCTTGCATCTATCTTCTGTCTGATCTCAGTTTCCTATATCCCTCATCTCAATGTATTAGTTACTTTTCTCATTGCTATCATCATATACTTCAAAAGAAGCAATGCAAAGTAAGAAGGATGTATTTGAGTTCACAGTTGAAGAGGTCCATCATGGTAGGGAAAGTTTGGCAATGGGTGACTCCGTGGTGGCAGTAACAGGGGCAGACCAAGAATCAGGGAAATGGGGACTTGAACTGGAGCTGGACAATGACCCTCAAAAGGCCTGCCAACCTAGTGGCCAACTTTCTCCAACATGTTCTTACCTTCTAAAGGTTATTCAACTGGCACCTCTAGCTAAGGACACACGAGTCTGTGGGGGATATTTCATATTCAAACCATATCTTTTGGGGTCAGCATCACTTGTTGGGATGCAGCAAAAACATCTTGTGAACTGACTCATTATAATTTGCTTGGCAGTTTCAATCTCAACTTTCTTTCACATTGCTTCCTCTAAGCATCTTGATGCCATGTTATCTGTCCCCTGTCATCTCTCTGATGTCATCTTCTTCAACTTTCCCCTTCACTCACTCTTTACAACTACACTGTTCCCAGACAACCTAGAATACACTCTCAAGGGCTTAACACTTTTTCTTGCCCCCCTTCTTCCTTTAAAATGTCTGAATTACTCACTCCTTAATTTACTTGAATATCATCTTAAATGTCACCTTCCCAGAGAATTATCCTTGGCCACATTGCTTAAAAGAACAAGCCCTACTCCCTTCCTATGCTTTTTTGTCCATAACAAATTGTGCTTTATATTTAATCTTGCCTTCATTAAAACAAGAGTTCTATTTTGTTCACCAACATAAACAAGAATGGGCACAGAGAACATCCTCAACAAATATTTGTTGAATGATCAAATAAATGCACGAATGAATGAATGTGTGACGAATGAATTACTATAGAGATACCATGTGATACCATTTTATCTTTCATTAAAAATTATTGATAAATGTATTGCATTTGTTCATGGAAAGTAATTACATCCGAGCTATAATGCTAATGAAAGATAGTAGATTCCTCTTGTGGTTGCAAGTTCTGGCAAGCCTTGAAAATGTGATGCATAACTGCTTAGGATGCCTTTAAAAATCACCAGCCAATTAGTGGGAGACAGTCCATAGAGGAAGCTGCCTTTGATTTTGCCAGGCACAACAGATATTTTTTTAATGTTTGGCATACTCATGCTATATAAGAATGAGTAATATGATTTTTGCCATATATATTTAATTTTTTCTAGAGCATTACTGACAAACCATGAGCTCAGATGCTTGAGGGACTATATTTGTTGATAATCCCTCTCCTAGAAGAGATTATAAATTGCCAGTAGGCTTTAAGACTTACCATAAGCTGGCAGGATTTTGCTATTTAGACTGCCATTTGGCCTTTATAACCATATTTCTCTATGAGTAACTTCAATGTTGGAGATTATTAAATGCCCCTCTCTTACAATTTATCTGTAGGTTTATTCTGCCATAGAATTGGTGTGATAATGTGGACTGCTCTTTCTTAGCCTTACAGATGTGACTAAAGTTCTTGACTTTGCCTTGTATTGATGTATCATTGTGCTAGGAACTCTGTTGGTAGCTCTCGGCTTAATGACAGTCTTTCTTTTCCTCCTCTCTTGGCCTGCTCCATTCTCACTGTGAGAACTGAGCTGGACCAAACAGAGTAGACTAGCTTGAGTGTTGCTCCTCCTCTTGGGCTCTCAACCTTTTCTTCATTTTTTTCCCACCATGTTTTAGTAATCTTTGGCTGGTGCAGCAATTTCTTAATTAATTGTCTTCCAACATATATATCCATCAATTTCCCTGGCTTGAGGTTAAGTGCTATATTCCTAACAATATCTAATATGATAGCTGGTACACAATACTTTCTGAGAAAATGATAGAGGAATGCCTAGAAATAGCAGAGAAAACATATTGACTTCCGTTTCAATGGTATTCTCACTTTCTCCCTATTCCTCAATAACAAAAGATTGGGGCTGGCACTCAGAAAGTCTGTGTAAAATGTGATGCTAGACCACATCTTATCTCGTCTCAATTGCCCTTCTTTTTGTGTCTTTTAGGCCAATTAGTGGTATCGCCTGACTTCTGGAATCTTGACTGGCCACTGACTTGTTCCTGTCCCTTGCTCATCTTCATCAATTCCAAAAGTGGAGATCATCAAGGGATCGTCTTTCTCCGAAAATTCAAGCAGTATCTTAATCCGTCTCAAGTATTTGACCTGTCGAAGGGTGGACCTGAAGCAGGGTAAGCATGAACTAAGGAGCTATGGTTGGCTATACAGAATAGTCTACTACCCCATTTATATTCTAGGCTAGAATAGTTTTGTGAGGTTAGTCCTTGCACCCCAGCAGATATGCAAATATATGATTCTGGAATATTTTACCTTTTGGCCCTCTCCTAGAAATCTCTTCCATCTCTTTTCCTGCTCCCAAATTTACTTAATTCTTTTCCATTTGGCAAGACAGAATGCCAGTGACATCAGAGGAAGAAGCAAAGGGGTGTCAATACAGACTTGTTTTACTATGGGATTACTGACAGTTCAGTGCTAGTTCCTGGGAGCCACTGAAAACTATGCAAAGTATGCTTCCTGAGACTCAGCAGATAGCTAGGATATTAAAGTCTTCCAGAGAACGACTAAACACAAAATAATATGAGTTGAGGCAAAGTCTGATTTCTGACTTTGTAAAGTTGTGGTTACAAATATACACAGAGTCAGAGGCTAATACAAAGAGAAGGCAGATGGCCTTGTTAGAAGTATGCCAAAGCAGAAGTCTTTAGACCCCAACATATTGTAAGAAATAGGTATAAGTTCCAGTTCGTCATGATTATTTCATTTTCCCCTCCTTCCTTGCAGCATCTGTATGTTCAAGAACTTTGTTCGTTTTCGTGTTCTGGTTTGTGGTGGAGATGGCAGCGTAAGCTGGGTCTTATCTATGATTGATGCCTTCGAACTGCATGATAGGGTAAGTCCCTAACCAAGTCAGTTTAACTATTGCTAGAAAGAGTGGGGGGTATGGAGCTTTGTGTTCCGAGAAGTCCCAAGTCTGCCTTCATCTTATCTACAAGCTTAATAGTTAACTTGGCCAGTTCAAACATGCTCACTTAAGACAATTCTCTAGTTGTTTCTGGGTGAAGGAGAAATAAAGGAATGTGAACACAAAGGATGAGCCTCCTCTAGGCTTCAAAGTAAAGAGCAGAAAAAGAAGAATGTTTCAATTTTCTTCTTCTTGTGAGGGTAATGATTTTCTTCTCCAAGTCTCTAGAGGGGCATAAACCTTCTTCTAATTTTCTCCATCTCTAGGCAACCCCTTGCTCTTTTGCATCCAGAAACTTTGTCTCCTGGTGCATCCCTCTGTTGGACCCAAACTCAAATAGAAATGGTGTTTATATTCTTCATTTATAGCTATAGCTATGACTTTTGTAATAGCCCAGAAACTGTGTAGATGATAATAATAATAAACATTATAATAATAAGCATTATAATAATAATTATTATTATTAGGGTCCAATTCCTTTGAGAAAATATCATTCAACTACAATTGCCCTCTCACTAAACTTCCTATAAAGAAATATGTTAAAACCTCTGGTTGTAAGGCCTATTCCTTCTCAAAGAGCACCCTAAATTCTTTAGTGAGTGAAACGTGATAGAAGGACTGTTGGGAAAAAGTGTCTCTTTTTGTTCTTGCAGTGTCAGCTGGCAATCATCCCACTTGGGACTGGTAATGATCTTGCTAGAGTCCTTGGCTGGGGAGCATTCTGGAATAAAAACAATTCACCACTAGATATTCTCACCAGAATAGAGCAGGCTCACGTGAGGATTTTAGACAGGTGAGTAACAAAAGGACATATCCTTGTGCCTCTTCTATTTATATCACCTTAGTCCAGAACCCAGCCTCCTTCAAAGCGCCATTTCCCTTGTGGTGGAAGGGCAGGCTCATTTGGAACATCTTGTCTATTGAGAAACCAGAGAGCCATGTATCCCTCAAATATTGTAGAAACCCCTCTTGACCCTTAAAGATCATAGAGCAGGGGCTTCATGGATGTATTTCAAGGGTTTGCTGCATTTCATTTAAAATGCTACTTGTTACTTGTCCAGAGGAAACATAGTGACTGTTGAGAAAGAATCTATAGTATTATCAGGCTCTCAGAGAAACTTTAAAAAGGGGGAGGAGATTTAGCAACGATTGGATTAGATTTTCTCTGCTCCAGAGGATAAAGAATATTGTCATCCTATACCCTGAGAAATAGGACTTTTATAGTGAGGTGTGGGTTTTCAAGACACAAATCTGAGACCATAACCAAGTTTCTTATTCTGTAGATCTTGGAAAAGGATCTGGTATAAATATTTCATTAAAATATTTCCTGTGCTCATAACGCTACCTCTGGTTAAAAAACACTGATTTCTGAGAGTCCTGAGAAAAATTCCTTCCATCACACTAACCTAGGGATGTCATTGAGCAGAATTTTCTTTTATGTATACTTTGAGGTTAGGTATACTGCTTGAGTATATCCTATAGCACACTTCCCAAAACACATGAATGGTTTGAACTCTTGTACTAGGAAGTGTTGATTTCACTTGTAATTAGCAGAAACTTGAATAATATTTGTGTTTAATCTTTACTTTAGATGGAGTGTGATGATCCGTGAGAACCCCAAAAAACCCCCACTGCTAAAAGGACAAGTGGAAATGGATATACCAAGATTTGAGGTGATTATTGTCAGCTATAATTCAGAGCAACCATTTTATCACACGTGAAATGCAAAGAAAAACCTAGAGAGAATACGAAGTATTTCCATGGACTTGATGAGATGAGATCTCTGAGGACAGGATACATAAATCAGCAGCTATTTACTACAGATATGTTAGGCATTAGGGATATAATTCATTTTAGTTATTTGTTCATCCTTTCAAAATTGTTTATGAAGTAACTATTGCATATGAGGCACTGTATTAGGAAATAATCTTACACATTAATAGATAAAGAAGAAGAATATGTCCCTTATTGTATAAATAAAGTACTACATGTATATCTGCATATCCCTCTCCGAGGTGTCAGGGAAAATATCCAAAATGAGTGCCATTTCAGCTTAGACCCAAGGAATAGCAATACCTAGGAGAAAAGACAAAAGGGGTAATTCCTTAGTCAGTGTTCTGTTGCTGAAGAGATGCCCCAACCACAGCAACTCTTACTAAAACAAACAAAAAACATTTAATTGGGCTGGCTTACAGTTTCAGAAATTTAGTCCATTATAGTCATGGCAGGGATTTGGTGGAACACAGGCAGACATGGTGTTAGACATGTAGCTGAAAGTTCTACATCTTGATTCTTGGGCATCAGGAACATCCACTGGGATTGGTTTGGGCTTCTGAAACCTCAAAGCCCACTCCCAGTGACACACTTCCTCCAACAAGGCCACACCTCTTAATTCTTTCAAACAGTGCTATTCCATAAGCATTTACATATATGAACCTATGAAGGCCATTCTTATTCAAATCACTGCAAGGCCTGTTTTTATACTGCTCCAAAGATTAAAGAAAAAAGGCTGTATAATATTAACAGAACCGAAACACATTCATAATGTCTAGGGCATGGTGGCCAAGGATGGAACATACAAAATGAGAGACTAGAGAAGTAATCAGGAACCAGCCCAGAAAGGAGTAATAAAGCATGGCAGGAAATTTGAACTTTCATCCTAAGTGCAATGAGAATTCTAGAAGGCTTTGAGGGCTTTTGTTTGCATGTGTATGGAGTAGGTGTACATGTGCACAGCACACAAATGTGGTCAGAGATCATAGGACAACTTCTGGTTTGAGTCCTTAGGCACCTTCCTCCTTTTTCTTAGGCATAGAGTCTCATTTGTCTGGTACATCACAGTGTAGGCAAGGCCAGCTAGCTGACACAACTCCAAGGATTACAGGTGTATATTACTGTGCTGGGCTTTTTTTGTGTGGGTTCTGGATATTCAAACTCATGTATATTACTGTGCTGGGCTTTTTTTGTATGGGTTCTGGATATTCAAACTCTGGTTCCCATTCTTTCAATGCAAGTGCTTTACCAACTGAACCATCTCCCCAACGCATCTTTTTCCTCCCTTACTTATTATACAAACGCCCAGATATATTAGTAAGTTGAAATGAGAATGTCCACCATGGAAATCTTATTATATTTGCTTTATCACATGCCAAACCAACTACATGTCATTGAGCAGTAGCACATGGTGGATGAGGAGACAAATCAAGGACTAAAGATGAGAGGCAAGGGGAAAAATGGGAATTGCTATTATTCAGACTAGAGATGATGGTGATTTAGGTTTGTGATTTGATGAGGAGAACTGGATAAATTTGAAACATACTGACAAAGTACAATTATAAGGACTTGGTAGATATTTGAACTTGGCAGTGATAGGAAAGGTTAGAAGTAGTAATTAGGAATACAGACTCAAGAGTCAGACTACCTGGAATCAAATCTAAGTTTTGCTACTTGTTTTGTGCCTCAGTTTTCTCTTCTGTGAAACAGGCATACAAGTAATCTTTTCCTCTCAGGGTAGATAATGAGAGTGCATAAAAATGATATATGATGTAGAATACAGCCACATACTCAGTACTATATGAGTGGAAACTGCGTTGTTAGTAACCCTTATTTACTATATAATATATGAAAGTTTTCATAGCGTGCCTCTCTCATGTTTAGAATGTTTTTAGACCCAAGATTATCTTTAGATACCTTTAACAAGAATTATTTGAGTTTATTGCCAGAAAGGCAGTTGAGTTTCTGGTAAAGCAGGTGGTAGGGGTGGGTTGAGGAGACAGCGCTAAGCTTCTGAGATTGAACGCTCTGTTTCTTCCTAGGCTGCCGCCATCCAGAATGTAGAGACTGCAACCAATGAGTTGAACAAAATCCTGAAGGCCAAGTATCCCACTGAGATGATCATCGCCACTAGGTCAGTCTTCCTTTGTGTCTCATCCTTTGGGGTATCATAGGTGCTGATATATGAGGCTCACTTTGATAGCCTGGGCTTTTAAGGCCAAAGAAAGTATCTATTTGTCTTTTCTAATCATTTTCACTCAACTCAAAATTCCTTAGTGGAAAATTTAAGGTGATAAAACATGAGATTGGAGTGAGGAGTCATTCTGCGAAAAACAAAGATAAAATTGCAAGCAGGTATTTGGAAAGAAGACTACAGAAGGGACAGAAAGCATTCTAGACAATCCAACAGTACAGACACCTTATTTTCTATCTTTGGGACTGGAAAGGGGCTCTTCAATGCCTGCCAGTACCTGCTTGTTTGCTTTTTATTTTTAAATGTGTATTATTTGCCAATTAAAGCTCAATTTATTTAGGTTACATATCTACACTGTACAAAATCAAAAGCACAAATGTTTCTCTGCATTTCTTTGGCAAATGTCAGTCCCATTTTACCGCATTATAGACTCCCATATCCCCAATACTACCCCAAATATATCTTTATTTTTTGATAATCTACTAAGCCATTTAATGCTACCCATATATGCTTAAGTGGCCAACTTACGAGTATGGGAAACATATCAGTGGCCACATCCTCATTCTCAAAAGCAGTGATTCTCCCTCCCTCAGCAACTATCCACTACCAATAGTTTCTCCATCTACTCACTCTGTGCTGGCATTTTGGCTGGCTTGATGTTCTGAAGGTAACCACAACTACTGTGAGATCCTAAGTACAATAGTCATGTCCTACCCAATAGATAGCACTTCACCACACTACTCCCATGCTGTCTTTTACTATCTCTCCAATCTTCTGCCATATCCCTGAGCTTTAGTGGTAGTAGGATTAGCACAAATGTCTTCTTTGGTACTATACAATCGTTGATTCTCATCGCACTGACTTTTGGTATAAGACTGCATTAAGCGTTGCCCACTGCAAAAAGAAGCCTCTCTGACCAAGGCTGAGAGCAGCCCAGGTTATAAGGTTTAAACAAATATTTAGAAGGCAATTGGACAAGATGACCATTTAAAAAAACAATAACAGTAGGTTGTATCCTAGGGCTTATGAACTTACAAACTATGGGCTCTAGGGAGGGCTACAGTACCAGGTATGCAATTACTTCCTGTAGAGCAGGACTCAAATTCAAACAAAGAGCAGTTAGTTACCCCCAAGATTCATCTCTATGCCATTTTCACACACATCTGTGGGCACATATTATAGCATGCAAGACCCAGCACTGGATGAGATCTTGGATGTCTTTCCTCCCCCAGAAGCATTATGAAAGGTGACAAGCAGGAGAAAGTTTCCCAGGTGTTTTGAAATTGATTCCTCTATATCATGCAGCCAAATATGATGATTCCCCTAATAGAATCTTATCATGTAGCTATAGTGGGTAACCAAGGGGCAATGGCAATAGCTTCTGTTGTTTTGGATACCCCTGCTGCTCCCTGACCAATAACTCATAGGGAGGTATCTTATGCCTTGTAATGAGATTTTAAAAAAATGTGCCATGTCTTCTGAGAAAGACATTGTTCATCCATGTAGGGCAATTCTATTCCTACTGTTTCTTTTTTAAATTGCATTTTAAAATTATTAGCAAGTAGATTTCCATATTTTTCATAACATCCTTAGTTTTGTTTAACTTAGTCATTACCCCCTTTCTGTGTCCTATCTTTCACCCCCATTCCCCTTTAATCCTTTAACTCCTGTATTCCCTATGTTTAACCATTTTTTGTATTTTCTATTTCTATTTTCATTTAATTATAAGATTTAAAAGTTTTTCATTTCATTCTTATTTTTAAATATTTATTTGTTTTACATTCCAACCAAAGATTCCCCTCCATGCTCTCTTCCCGCCATCTCCCTTCTGCCCTCTCCATCCATTCCTTCTCCATTTCTGTTCAGAAAAGGTTGACCTTCCTTGGATATCAACTAAACATGGCATGCCAAGTTGTGGTAAGACTAAACACCTCTCCTGTATTAAGGTTGGACAAGGCAACTCAGTATGAGGAATAGGTTCTCAAAAAGCCAGCAAAAGAGTCAAGATAGCCCCTGCTCCCACTGTTAGGAGTCCCACAAGAAGACTAAGCTACACAACTGGATCTCTGTATCTGTTTCCACTAGTTTCATCAGTTGTGTTTGGTTCTATCCTAGCTCTCAGGGTCATCTAACCTCTCAGTCCTAGTGCTCCAGGACTCTTGTGGCGTTGATCTCAGGCTGGACTAGTCATTAGTTGGCCACTGCCACAATCTCTGTGCCACCCTTATCCAAGCATATATGCCATAGGCAGAATAGACTGTAGATCAAAGATTATATGGCCGGGTTGGTGTCCTAATCTGTCCACTGGTAGTCTTGATAGGTCAAAGGAGATGGCAGGTTCCAGCTACATATCCCCTGTTGCTAGGAGTCTTAGCCGGGGTCATCCTTGTAGATACCTGGGAGTTTCCCTTGCACCAAGTTTCTATCTTACCCTGAAATGACTCCCTTTCTAGTTGTCTCTTTCAGTACTCTTCTCCCACCCCACCCCTATATGATCCCTCATGTTGCCATCCCCACTAGCCCCCAGTCCACCCACAATATCTCTATTTCCCCTTCCCAGAGAGATCCATGTGTCCTCACTGGGGCCCTCCTTGTTACCTTGCCCCTCTGGGTCTGTGGATTATACCATGATTATCCTTTACAGCTAATATCCACTTATAAGTGAGTACATACCATGTTTGTCTTTTTGGGTCTGGGTTACCTCACACAGGATGATTTTTTTTTCTAGTTCCTCTTGCCTGCAAAGTTTTATGATGCCATCATTTTTAACAGATGAGTAATACTTTATTGTATGAATGTACCACGATTTCTTTACCTGTTCTGCAGTTCAGGGGCATCTAGGTTGTTTCCAGGTTCTAGCTATTATGAATAATGCTGCTGTAAACATAGTTGAGCAAGTGTCCTTGTAGTATGATTGCGTATCCTTTGGGTATATGCTGAACAGAGGTATATCTGGGTCTTAAGGTAGAGCAATTCCCAATTTTCTGAGAAACTGCCTTATTTATGTCCAAAGTGTCTGCAAAAGTTTGCACTCCCACCAGCAATGGAGCAGTGTTCCCCTTACTTCACATCTTCTCCACCATGAGCTATCACTTGTGTTTTTGATCTTAACCATTTTGACAGGTATAAGGTAGTATCTCAGAGTTGTTTTGATTTGCATTTCCATGATGGCTAAGGATGTTGAACATTTCTTATATTTTGGTTGTGAGCCAAGCCTTTAATGGCTGAGCCATCTCTCCAGCTCTGAGCATTTCTTTAAGTGTTGTTTAGCAGCAATTTAAGATTCTAATGCTGAGAATTTTCTGTTTAGACCTGTACCCCACTATTAATTGGATTATTTGGTTTGTTTCTATCTAGTTTCTTGAATTCTTTGTATATTTTGGAAATAATCCCTTTGTTGGATGTGGGGTTGATGAAGATCTTTTCCCATTCTGTAGCCTGCTGTGTTGTCCTATTGGCAGTGTCCTTTACCTTACAGAAACTTTTCAGTTTCATGAAGTCCCGTATATTATCAATCTTTGTGTTTGTGCTTTTGATGTTCAGAATTTTGTCTCCTGTGCCAAAGCACAAAAAGCTACTTCCCACTTTCTCTTCTGTCAGGCTCAGTGTATCAGGATTTATATTGAGATCTTTGATACACTTGGACTTGAGTTTTGTGCAGGTTGGTAGATTTAGATTTATTTGCATTCTGCTACATGCTGACATCCAGTTAGACCAGCCCCATTTGTTGAAGATGCTTTCTTTTTTATTTTATAATTTTGGCTTCTTTGTCAAAAATTGGGTGTCCATAGTTGTGTGGATTTATGCTGGGTTTTCAATTCGATTTCATAACCTGTCTGTTTTTATGCCAATACCATATTGTTTTTAATTGTTATAGCTCTGTAGTAGAGCTTGAAACCAAGGATGATGATGCCTTTGGAATTTCTTTTATTGTGCAGGATTGTTGTAGCTATTCTGGGTTCTCTGCTTTTCCATATGAAATTGAAAATTGTCTTTTCAAGTTCTGTAAATAATTGTGTTGAAAGTTTAATGGGGATTGCATTGAATCTGTATATTACTTTTGGTAAGATTTCCATTTTTACTATGTTAGTCCTACTGATCCATGAACGTGGGAATTATTTCCACCTTCTGATATCTTCTCCAGTTTCCTTCTTCAATGACTTGAGGTTCTTGTCATTCAGGTCTTTCACTTGCTTGGTTAGACTTCCTCAAGATATTTTATGCTTTTTGTGGCTATTATAAAGGGTGTTATTTGCCTCATTTTTTAGATATAAAGCTGTTGGCCTGTTGTTAGCATTTCTTATTGAATAGCTCTGTCTTAAATATTAACCCATTTCTATTAATCTAAGTATTTCCATGTGGTTTTATCTTACTGGAAAGAGGACCCAGCATTCTACTCTCTCCATCCTCCATGTTGAATCTCCTCCCTACTACTTCCTCTCTGCTCCTAGTCTCTTGCTGTCCTATTAGCCAACAATGCTTTATTCATTAACCAATAAGAGAAGTATATTTACAGAATGACATCTCCCATCATCTTCTCTTTTCTGTCTAAAATAAAAAGAAGGGTTTTAACTTTAACATAGTAAAATATATAACAAAACAGTTATCAATTAAGAACCACAGTTAACAATATTTAGTCCATTAACATGTAGCAAGATTTAAAGAAAATATTTTGTCATCTATCCTATTTTTGTGAGTCTAATGTCCTATATGTAACTTATCTTTAATCCTAACTAAGGAAAACTATAACCATAACTATCTGCCTTCAACTCCATCAAAGACCACAAAAGGATAATATATAAACTCTAAAAATGACCGAGAAAACTCACTTCCTGGTCAGTCACCCGAAGTTCTTCTACAATGTTCCATCTTCAGCCTATAGGCCATAGTGTATCTGGCAGACTCCTCAGCAAAGCAGGAAACTTTAAACTGTCCACCTT